AACCCAAGAGGCTCACAACAACAACAACAACAACAAGAATACAACACCTTTGTAAGCAAAGACAATTAACCCAAGAGGCTCACAAGGATTAGCTCAATCCAAGAAGAATACAATACCCTTGTAAGTAAAGGCAATTAACCCAAGAGGCTCACAACAACAACAACAACAACAACAACAAGATGAATCAAATTTCCAATATATATAAACTGTTGTGCAAAATAAACAAATAATTATTATAATCTTGTAAATAAAGTGCAAAAAAAATAAAAAGAAAGGGAAGAGAATATTAAGTCGTGATTTATTTATAGTGGTTCCTCTAATCCAAAGTACATCCACTCCCCAAGTCTCCTTGCTCAAGAGTTCAATCCACTAGGATTCTCTTACTTATGGGTGCAAGATTAAACCGAAACAAACTCTTACTTATGGGTGCAAGATTAAACCCTCACACTCTTGCTTGTGAGTGCAAGATTAAACCCTCACAAGTGAATCTCAACAACTCACTCAACCCCTTCAAGGATTACCTCAATCCAAGAAGAATACAATACCCTTGTAAGCAAAGACAATTAACCCAAGAGGCTCACAACAACAACAACAACAACAACAACAACAAGAACTGTTTCAATTTCAAACTCTGTTTCTCTATCTTCTTCTGGAGAAGTCTGTTCATGAGCACTGTTAGATTTGATTTTTAAAGCTTTTTAATAATTGGTTGGGAGCTCTTGCAATTAAAGCCTATTTTGCCCTTCAAAGTCACCTCACAAAGAAGAACTGTTTCAATTTCAAACTATGTTTCTCTATCTTCTTCTGGAGAAGTCCGTTCATGAGCATTGTTAGATTTGATTTTTAAAGCTTTTTAATAATTGGTTGGGAGCTCTTGCAATTAAAGCCTATTTTGCCTTTCAAAGTCACCTCACAATTGCTCCATTTAGATTCCACCCCTTTTCTACTTCTTATAATAGACTTTGACTTGTCTTGAAAAGTGGGTTAGTCATTTGGATCCCTCTAAGGCCCATTAAGGCAAAATAGATAATTGAGTTATGAAAAGTTTACCTTCTAGAATTTTTGCTTCAAAGCCAGAAATATTGCTTCGATCTATTTTTGAAAAAAGAACTACGGGATTGGTTCGAATCAAGTAGAATTGCTTCAAACCTAGAACTCTGGACAAAGAGGACAGGGTTTAATTATAATCATGGGGAAAGATTAGAATCCTTGAACTAGCTTTCCTGCACACTTAGCATAAGAGTAGATTAAACTCTTTAAATCATGGTTTTAAATCATCATCAAAATACAAAGAGAACCTAACAATCTCCCCCCTTTTTGATGATGACAGAACCATGCCTTAAAATAATAAAGATAATAAATGTAAGCTCCCCCTCAAAATATGATTCCAAGTTTCAAAAGGAAATGCACAAACAAGTAATAAAGATAATTTTCATTTAAGTTCCTCTCCCCCTTTTTGTCATTAGCAAAAAAAAAAAAAACATACAAATCAGCACAAAGCATAGCATAGAGTTCAAACATACAAATCGGCAAAATGTAGTAGATAAAGGATAATACCAAGATAGCATCAAAGTCAGATGTTGTAATAGTACTAAGCACCAAAATTATAGCCAAAATCAATATAGAGGCACAAATGGTTATTACAAACTATTATCAAAATAAACCAACTCTTCTAAAAACATAGAGAATAGCTCATTAGAATATGTTCAAAACAAAAACACAAAGAGCAATATCTTTAATGGATTCACTTCGAACCTAATTTTTGTGGTTCAAACCAATATGCTTTGTAATTCACTTCCTATTTCTTCTTTCTTTTAATTTTAATTTTATTTATTTTATGATATTTATTATAGTAAATTTTACATGTTCAATGATAATCAAACAACTAGACATTTAAGAATCAAAATTTAACAAGTTAGGTCATACATCCCTATGCTATGTCTTGTTAAACAAAATCATTCTTCATTCAAAGGTTTGATAAATATGTCTACCAACTGGTTTTCAGTTTTTACAAATTTGAGTGTCAAGTCACCATTGCTCACATGTTCTCTAATAAAATGAAATCTAATTTCAGTGTGTTTTGTTCTTGAATGTTGAATTGGATTCTTGGTTGGACTAATTGTACTAGTGTTGTCACATCTAATTGGAATTCTTTCAAATTTACATCCAAAATCCTTTAAGTGTTGTTTGATCCATAAAAGTTGAGTTGCAAAACTATCGACTGTAATATACTTAGCCTCAGTAGTTGACAAAGCAACTAAATTTTGTTTTTTTTTAGTATCAAGAAACCAAGGCACCTCCTAAGATTTGACAAGTTCCACTAGTGCTTTTTCTATCAACCATACTACTAGCAAAGTCAGCATTTGAGAATCCAATTAAACCAAAATTCATCCCTTTGGGATACCAAAGACCTAAGTTTTGAGTTCGTATAAGATATCTAAAGATTCCTTTTACTGTAGTAAAATGAGTCTCCTTAGGACATGATTGAAAATGAGCACACAAGCACACACTGAACAAAATATCAGGTCTATTGGCTATCAAGTATAATAACGAACCTATCATGCTTCTAAAAAGTTTCTGATCAAAAGGCTTACCTTGTTCATCTTTGTCCAGTTTGAGGGTTGAACTCATTGGTGTGCATTGAAGCTTAGCCTTTTCCATTCCAAACTTTTTAGCAACTCTTTGGTAAACTTTGATTGATTAATGAAAATCCCTTCATTACTTTGCTTGATTTGTAGTCCAAGGAAGAAATTTAATTCTCCCATCATACTTATCTCAAACTCTCCTGGTGTAAGCTTAGAAAAATTCTCACAAAGAAGCTCATTAGTAGCACCAAATATTATGTCATCTACATAGATTTGAACAATTAAAAAATCATTTTCATGATGCTTTATAAATAAAGTGGTGTCAACTTTTCCTCTAGAAAAACCTTTTCCAATTAGAAACCCACTTAAGCTTTCATACCAAGCTCTAGGAGCTTGTTTTAAGCCATACAAAGCCTTAGATAACTTGAATACATGATCTAGGAAATGGGGGTCCTCAAAACCAAGGGGTTGCTCAACATAAACTTCTTCCTTAATTAATCCATTTAAAAATGCACTTTTAACATCCATTTGAAAAATTTTCATGTTCATATGACATGCAAATGCACATAGCAAATGTATAGATTCTAATCGAGCAACTGGTGCATATGTTTCATCATAGTCTATGCCTTCCTCTTGACTATATCCCTTAGCAACTAGTCTTGCTTTACTACTAACTACATGACCATGTTCATCTAACTTATTTCTAAAACCCCATTTAGCACCTATGGTAGGATGATCACTAGGACGAGGTACAAGATTCCATACTTCATTTCTTTGAAACTGGTTTAATTATTCTTGCATTGCTAAGAACCAATTTCCATCCTCTAATGCATCATTGACATTCTTAGGTTCTATATGAGAAATAAATGCAAAATTATTCACAAAATAAAAGTGAAATCTTGTTGTTACCCCTTTTTCTATATCACCAATGATCTGTTCTTTTGGATGATCTTTCTTGAATTTCCACATCTTTGGAAAGTCTTGGCAAGGAACATCATTCTAATCTTGTGAGCCTTCTTCTTTTCCAAAATTTTCTTGAAGATGCAACTCTCCAATCCTTGTTTGAATTTCACCTGCATCCTCATCCAAGACAACCTTTCTCAAGGAAAAATTATTTTCAACAAATGTAACATGCGTGGCCTCTTTTACAACCAAAGTTCTTTTGTTATAAACTCTATATGCTCTACTTGTTAATGAGTACCCAAGAAAAACAACCTCATCACTCTTAGCATCAAATTTTCCTAGATTTTCTTTGCCATTGTTATGCACAAAGCATTTACAACCAAATGCACGAAAATGAGAAATATTTGGTTTCTTATTTTTCCACAATTCATATGAAGTTTTATTCAACTTTGACCTAATTAGAACTCTATTCAAAATGTAACATGCTTTGTTAATAGCCTCAGCCTAGAAGTATTTTGGTAATTGATTTTCACATAGCATTGTTCTGCCCATTTCTTGTAAGGTTCTATTTCAGCCATCCACATCATGAAGCCCATCATCATCAAATTCTTAAAGGGCCCTTGTGCCACTTCCCAAGTTTTATATATTGATTGCGAGATAATTCTTAAATGGTTATCCATCTATAGAAGATGAGATGGGTACTTCTCAAGCTTTATGTTCAAACAAACAAGGGGACAAACATTTTCAACCGATCGGATTGACTGTCGATTTTAGATGGCATCTTTTCTTTTCTTTTCTTGTTTTTAATTACAAATTTTTTCTTTTTCCAAGAAAAGAAACAAATACAACAATTAGCTTGAAATTGTAAATTAAATTGAAAATCTCAAATTTGCAACTTCAGTCATCCTGTGTAGATTTAGATGGATTTAGATAATGAAGAGGGTTATTTTTTTTTATAATTAAATGTATTAAAAAATAAATATTACATGATTTTAAAAAGAAAAATATTATTAAATTAGTAAA